CCCACCAAGGCAGGGTGGCCCGAAAAAGAAAAACTTTCACCATCATTCACTCCATCACTGTCTTGCCAGAAGGGTGCTTTACACTACAGTTTTTAAACTGCACCATTAACACCCCTCCTTCAGAGTGCAGGCACTGTACTTCCCATCTCCAGGACACAAGTCCGGCCTGCCGGTTTCCCTGAATCCCTTCATAAATGTTACTTTGCTCACACTCCAACAGCACGTCAAGTATTAAAAACCATTTGTCTCCATTCACTCCTATCAAACACGCTCATGCATGCCTGCTGGAAGTCCAAGCCCCTCGCACACAAAACCTCCTTTACCCCTCCCTCCAACCTTTCCTAGGCCGACCCCTACCCCGCCCTTCCTTCCACTACAGACTGATACACTCTTGAAGTCATTCTGTTTCGCTCCATTCTCTCTACATGTCCGAACCACCTCAACAACCCTTCCTCAGCCCTCTGGACAACAGTTTTGGTAATCCGCACCTCCTCCTAACTTCCAAACTACGAATTCTCTGCATTATATTCACACCACACATTGCCCTCAGGACATGACATCTCCACTGCCTCCAGCCTTCTCCTCGCTGCAACATTCATCACCCACGCTTCACACCCATATAAGAGCGTTGGTAAAACTATACTCTCATACATTCCCCTCTTTGCCTCCAAGGACAAAGTTCTTTGTCTCCACAGACTCCTAAGTGCACCACTCACTCTTTTTCCCTCATCAATTCTATGATTCACCTCATCTTTCATAGACCCATCCGCTGACACGTCACTCCCAAATATCTGAATACGTTCACCTCCTCCATACTCTCTCCTCCAATCTGATATTCAATCTTTCATCACCTATCTTTTTGTTATCCTCATAACCTTACTCTTTCCTGTATTCACCTTTAATTTCTTCTTTTGCACACCCTACCAAATTCATCCACCAATCTCTGCAACTTCTCTTCAGAATCTCCCAAGAGCACAGTGTCATCAGCAAAGAGCAGCTGTGACAACTCCCACTTTGTGTGTGATTCTTTATCTTTTAACTCCACGCCTCTTGCCAAGACCCTCGCATTTACTTCTCTTACAACCCCATCTATAAATATATTAAACAACCATGGTGACATCACACATCCTTGTCTAAGGCCTACTTTTACTGGGAAAAAATTTCCCTCTTTCCTACATACTCTAACTTGAGCCTCACTATCTCGTAAAAACTCTTCACTGCTTTCAGTAACCTACCTCTACACCATACACTTGCAACATCTGCCACATTGCCCCCCTATCCACCCTGTCATACGCCTTTTCCAAATCCATAAATGCCACAAAGACCTCTTTAGCCTTATCTAAATACTGTTCACTTATATGTTTCACTGTAAACACCTGGTCCACACACCCCCTACCTTTCCTAAAGCTCCTTGTTCATTGCTATCCTATTCTCTGTCTTACTCTTAATTCTTTCAATTATAACTCTACCATACACTTTACCAGGTACACTCAACAGACTTATCCCCTATAATTTTTGCACTCTCTTTTATCCCCTTTGCCTTTATACAAAGGAACTATGCATGCTCTCTGCCAATCCTAGGTACCTTACCCTCTTCCATACATTTATTAAATAATTGCACCAACCACTCCAAAACTATATCCCCACTGCTTTTAACATTTCTATCTTTATCCATCAATCCCGGCTGCCTTACCCCCCTATCATTTTACATACTGCCTCACGAACTTCCCCCACACTCACCAACTGGCTCTTCCTCACTCCTACAAGATGTTATTCCTCCTTGCCCTATACACGAAATCACAGCTTCCCTATCTTCATCAACATTTAACAATTCCTCAAAATATTCCCTCCATCTTCCCAATACCTCTAACTCTCCATTTAATAACTCTCCTCTCCTATTTTTAACTGACAAATCCATTTGTTCTCTAGGCTTTCTTAACTTGTTAATCTCACTCCAAAACTTTTTCTATTTTCAACAAAATTTGTTGTAACATCTCACCCACTCTCTCATTTGCTCTCTTTTTACATTGCTTCACCACTCTCTTAACCTCTCTCTTTTTCTCCATATACTCTTCCCTCCTTGCATCACTTCTACTTTGTAAAAACTTCTCATATGCTAACTTTTTCTCCCTTACTACTCTCTTTACATCATCATTCCACCAATCGCTCCTCTTCCCTCCTGCACCACTTTCCTGTAACCACAAACTTCTGCTGAAACACTCTAACACTACATTTTTAATCCTACCCCATACCTCTTCGACCCCATTGCCTATGCTCTCATTAGCCCATCTATCCTCCATAGCTGTTTATAATCTTACCCTAACTGCCTCCTCTTTAGTTTATAAACCTCACCTCTCTCTTCCTGATGCTTCTATTCTCCTTGTATCCCATCTACCTTTTACTCTCAGTGTAGCTACAACTAGAAAGTGATCTGATATATCTGTGGCCCCTCTATAAACATGTACATCCTGAAGTCTACTCAACAGTCTTTTATCTACCAATACATAATCCAACAAACTACTGTCATTTCGCCCTACATCATATCTTGTATACTTATTTATCCTCTTTTTCTTAAAATATGTATTACCCACAACCAAACCCCTTTCTATACAAAGTTCAATCAAAGGGCTCCCATTATCATTTACACCTGACACCCCAAACTTACCTACCACACCCTCTCTAAAAGTTTCTCCTACTTTAGCATTCAGGCCCCTACCACAATTACTCTCTCACTTGGTTCAAAGGCTCCTATACATTCACTTAACATCTCCCAAATCTCTCTCTCTCTCTGCATTCCTCTCTTCTCAGGTGCATACACGCTTATTATGACCCACTTCTCGCATTCCAACCTTCACTTTAATCCACATAATTCTTGAATTTACACATTCATATTCTCTTTTCTCCTTCATAACTGATCATTTAACATTACTGCTACCCTTCCTTTGCTCTAACTCTCTCAGATACTCCAGATTTAATCCATTTATTTCCCCCCACTGAAAATCTTCCTACCCCCTTCAGCTTTGTTTCGCTTAGAGCCAGACATCCAACTTCTTTTCATCATAACATCAGCAATCATCTGTTTCTTGTCATCCGCACTACATCCACGCACATTTAAGCATCCCAGTTTTATAAGTTTTTCTTCTTCTCTTTTTTTAGTAAATGTATACAGGAGAAGGGGTTACTAGCCCATTGCTCCGGCATTTTAGTCGCCTCATACGACACGCATGGATACGGAGGAAAGATTCTTTTCCACTTCCCCATGGACAATAGAAGAAATAAAAAAAGAACAAGAGCTATTTAGAAAAAGGAGGAAAACCTAGATGTATGTATTATATATATATGCATGTGCGTGTCTGTGAAGTGTGACCAAAGTGTAAGTAGTAGTAGCAAGATATCCTGTTATATTTTATATATATAATATATATTATATATATATATATATATATATATATATATATATATATATATATATATATATATATATATATGCAATAAAATCACAGTAAACAGGTGATTTCAGAATATGCAAAACAACCACTCTGAAAGAATAGAGAAATTCCAGCGCTTTCGTGACTACTCACATTATCAAGGAAACTATGATAATGTTCCTTGATAATGTGAGTAGTCACGAAACGCTTGGAATTTCTCTATTCTTTCAGAGTGGTTGTTTTGCATTTATATATATATATATATATATATATATATATATATATATATATATATATATATATTATATATATATATGTATATTATATATATATATATATATATATATATATATATATATTATATATATATATATATATATATATATATATAGATAGATATATATATATACATACTACATATGTGTGTGTGTGTGTACTCACCTATTTGTGGTTGCAGGGGTCGAGTCATAGCTCCTGGCCCCGCCTCTTCACTGGTTGCTACTGGGTTCTCTCTCTCTCTGCTGCATGAGCCTTATCAAACCTCGTCTTAAAACTATGTATGGTTCCCGCCTCCACTACGTCACTTTCTAGGCTATTCCACTGTCTGACAACTCTATGACTGAAGAAATACTTCCTAACATCCCTTTGACTCATCTGACTATTCAACTTCCAACTGTGACCTCTTGTTTCTGTGTCCCCTCCCTGGAACATCCTGTCTCTGTCCACCTTGTCTATTCCGCACAGTATTTTATATATCGTTATCATGTCTCCCTTGACCCTACTGTCCTCCAGTGTCGTCAGTCCTATTTCCCTTGACCTTTCTTCATAAGAGCATAAGAAAGGAGGAACACTGCAGCAGGCCTGTTGGCCCATACTAGGCATGTCTTTTACAATCCATCCCCCTAACAAAACATTTGCCCAACCCAATTTTCAATGCCATCCAAGAAATAAGCTCTGATAACTCTATCCCCTCTCATATGCAAGTCCCACTCAAATCCACCCCCTCTCATTCATGTATTTACCCAACTTATATTTGAAACTACCCAAGGTTTTAGCCTCAATAACCCAACTAGGTAGACTGTTTCACTCATCAACTACCCTATTTCCAAACCAATACTTTCCTACATCCCTTCTAAATCTACACTTGTCTAATTTGAATTCATTACTGCGGGTTCTCTCTTGGAAGGATATCCTCAAGACCTTATTTATATCCCTTTTATTGATACCCATCTTCCACTTATACACTTCGATCATGTCTCCCCTCATTCTTCGTCTAACAAGTGAATGTAATTTAAGAGTCTTCAATCTTTCTTCATAAGGAAGATTTCTAATGCTATGTATTAATTTAGTCATTCTACGCTGAATGTTTTCTAACGAATTTATGTCCATTCTGTAATATGGAGACCAGAACTGAGCTGCATAATCTAGGTGAGGCCTTACTAATGATGTATAAAGCTGCAGTATGACCTCTGGACTTCTGTTGCTTACACTTCTTGATATAAATCCCAGTAATCTATTTGCCTTATTACGTACGCTTAGGCATTGCTGTCTTGGTTTAAGGTTGCTGCTCACCATAACCACCAAGTCCTTCTCGCATTCCATACGGCTAAGTTCAACATTATTAAGCTGGTAGGTGCTAGGGTTATGGACATTTCCGAGCTTTAGAACTTTACATTTATCTACACTGAACTGCATCTGCCACTTTTCTGACAGCGTCTGAATCGATTATCCTACCTATCTTCGTGTCATCAGCAAATTTGCTTATGTCACTAGTAATTCCCTCGTCAAGGTCGTTTATATAAATTATAAACAACAATGGGCCTAAAACTGATCCTAAAACTAACCCCATTTATACACACTCTCTGCTTCTTATTAGTGAGCCCTGACTCGATCCATGACAGCATTTTCCCCCAATGCCATAAGCAGCCACTTTCTTCAACAGTCTCTGATGTGGTACTCTATCAAAAGCCTTACTAAAATCTAAATAAACAATATCGAATTCTTTGTCCTGATCAACGGCCTCAAAAGCTTTGCTGATAAAGGTTAATAAATTAGTGAGGCAGGAACGGCCCCTCGTGAAACCATGTTGAGTATCATTAATCAAATTATGCCTATCGAGATGGCTTCTTATATTATCAGTTATAATTGACTCTAGTAATTTGCCTACAATTGAGGTTAGGCTTATTGGGCGGTAATTTGACGGTAACGACTTGTCCCCTGATTTAAAAATAGGAATTACATTAGCCATCTTCCACATGTCAGGCACTACACCTGTTTGAAGAGATAAATTAAAAATATTAGTTAAAGGTTCACCTATCTTATCTCTAACTTTTGTTCTATATACTGGAAAAAGCTTTTTGGGTTAGTTTTCGAATCCCTAGCAACATTAATTTCATAGTCCCGTTTAGCTTTTCTTATTCCCTTTTTAACGTCCCTCTTAATGTCAATATACTGATTCATAAGATGACCCTCACCTCTTTTGATACGTCTATAAATTCCTTTCTTCTGTCCTAAAAGATATTTGAGCCTATTATTCATCCATTTGGGGTCATTTCTATTCGATCTAATTTCCTTATATGGGATAAACGTCCTGTGGGCAGCATGTATTGTGTTAAGAAAGCTGTCATACTGATAGCTCTCTTCGTTACTCCAGTCCAGAGATGATAAGTGTTCTCTAACCCCATTATAATCTGCTAAGCGAAAATCTGGGACCATTACTGAATTATCCCTACTATCATACTTCCATTCAGTGCTAAAGGTAATTGATTTGTGATCGCTTGTTCCGAGTTCCTCTGTAATTTCTAAATTATTAACAAGGGTTTCCTTGTTTGCCAGAACCAAATCAAGCAGGTTATTTCCCCTTGTAGGCTCTGTCGCAAACTGCTTCAAAAAACAACCTTGAACTACTTCTAAGAAATCGTTAGATTCTAAATTCCCAGTCATGAAATTCCAATCAATCTGACCAAAGTTGAAGTCCCCTAGAATTACTACGTTATCTTGCCTTGTGGCTTTAACAATTTCATCCCATAGTAGTCTCCCTTGGTCCCTATCTAAGTTTGGGGGACGATATATCACACCTAAAATAAATTTTTCATGTCGCTCTGAAAATTCTATCCAAACAGATTCTGTATGTGTTATTTCAGATTTTATACCCTTTTTAATGCAACAGTTCAAGCGATCTCGGATATACAATGCCACCCCCCCCCCCTTCCCGATACTTCTGTTTACTTGGAACAATTTAAAACCCTGAATGTGGCATTCTGCAGGCATGTCCCGACTTTTTGAATTAAACCACGTCTCAGTTATGGCAAATACATCAATGTTACCTGCACTAGCAACTAATCTCAACTCGTCCATCTTATTTCTAGCACTATGGCTATTAGCATAATATACATTGAAAGACCCTCCTTTCTCTTTACCCTTCCTGTTCATTTCTGTTTTTCTACTAAACCTATTACTGTCCTTGTCACCTAGTGTCACTGGCTTTTCAATATCTACCTCGTTCTGCTTATTACTAGTTCCCCTAGAACTCATAATATTACTACACTTGGACTTCACTGTTTTCCTGCCAAAACCCATACCACTAACTATTCCTAGTTTAAAGTCCTAACAGCTCCCTCCACTGCAATTGCCAGTGCCCCCACCCCAGACCTAGATAAGTGAACCCCATCCCTGGCATACATGTCATTTCTGCCATAGAAGAGGTCCCAGTTGTCAATGAATGTTACCGCATTTTCTTTACAGTATTTGTCCAGCCAGCAATTGACACCAATTTCCCTGGACAACCATTCGTTTCCAACTCCTCTCCTTGGCAAAATACCATATATGACAGGGTTCCCACCCTTCCTCCTAATTATCTCTACTGCTGACGTATACCTGCTAATCAGGTCCTCACTCCTACCTCTGCCAACATCGTTGCCTCCCGTACTGAGACAGATAATAGGATTGCTCCCATTACCTCTCATAATGTCATCCAGACGGCTAACAATATCCTTCATCCCAGCCCCAGGAAAACACACTCTCTGCCTCCCACTCCTATCCTTCAAGCAGAATGCCCTATCATAGGACATTCCCCTTAGCTCTGGAGCTAACCTTGTCGCAAACCTTTGCACTTTCTGTAATTTCTTGACGTGCTTGATCAAGTGCGGGTTCCAAACAGGTGCTGCATACTCCAGTATGGGCATACTGCATACTCCTATGTCCTTCCTGAATCTGAACTTTTCCAACTTGAAACCATTGCTGCGAGTCCTGTCTTGGTTGGATATTTTTAGCACGCTATTTACATCCCCTTTATTTATTCCTGTTTTCCATTTACACACCTTAATCATATCCCCCCTAATTCTACGCCTTTCTAGAGAGTGCAGCTTCAAGGCCCTCAGTCTATTATCATAGGGAAGATTTCTGATACATGGGATCAACTTTGTCATCCTCCTGCCTCATGTGCAATGTCTTCGCTTAAGAACTCATTACTAAGATGCTCCATGATGGAATTATTGAAGATTCCAATTCTCCATGGAATGCTCCGCTCATTCTTGTTCTTAAGAAAGATTGGACATGGAGTCCTGTAACTGACTACAGGAAATTAAATGCATGTACAATCCCAAATCTTTTCTCTTTGCCACTTCTGAATGACTTGTTGCGGAACACTGGCAATAAAATTTTCGACACGACCTTTTACAAGGATTTTGTAAAATTCCTCTTGATGCCCAAAGTAAAGAATTGACAGCATTCTCTATGCCAACTGGTCATTAGACATTCAGAAGGACGTCTTTTGGGCTAAGGAGCAGCCCAATAACATTCAGTCGTTTGATAACGACACTTTTTCGTACTCTCCTAGGTAAGACCCTAATGGCTTACCTAGATGATCCCATTGTGATGTCTCGGGATGTATCTACACATCTCATAAAACTTGAACAGGTATGGGAAAAATTAGCTGAAGCTAATCTCCAAGTTAAACTCTCTAAATGCCAATTTCTCAAGAACGAAATAAGGTTCCTGGGCCAGATAGTGACCCACAATGGCATATAGACAAGTCCAACTCTCTTCTGTTCAGAAATTCCCTAGACCTATGATGTCAGACGCTGTTCGCTCCTTCATAGGCATAGCCAGATTCTATCACACCTTCATTGTCGGATTTTCCACTATAGCTACCCCTTTGACCCGGCTTCTCAAGATGAATGTGCCCTTTGAATGGACTTGTTATCAGGAAAGAGCCTTTCTTACACTTAAGAACAAATTAACCACAGCACCGGTCCTTAAATTTCCTTACTTTACTAAGGAGTTTATCTTGATGGATGCCAGCAAAGTTGGCATTGGTGCAGTTACGTCACAAGAGTCCAATGATAAGCAACAGCCAATAGCTTACGATAGCTGTGTTCTTACCAACGCTGAAACTAACTGCTCAGTGGCAAAGCTAAAGGCCTCAGCTATTGTATGGACTTCGAGTTATTTCCGGGACATTATTTACCAATATCTCATCAAGATTTACACAGATCATTTGCCATTGTTGTCTCTCTTTGCAAACAAGAATCTCCCAAGAAAACATGCTCCCTGATCTCTCACTTTTAATGACTAAAGCCCAGAAATCTGCTATGTTCTTGGTAAGCAAAATGTCGTTGCTGATGCCCTGTTGAGGCATATTGTTTTTGTTAATGCAGACAACCCCTTCTCGGTTGAGGATCTACATCGCAAAGTCAAGACCCTGTGTGGTCACTAGTCCTTCGATTCCTGACCAAGGAGGCTGCTGACCTGCAGGTTAAATCACCTGTGCCGCTGAGGGGCTTAGATGTCAACCAAGGAGTGCTGTGCTGAGTGGGAAAGGTGGCAGATCCTGGCAGTACCGTACAGCAGTTGGTAATCCCAGAATCCCTAATACCAGCAACTCTGAAAGTGATCCAAGACGTCCCAGGAGCAGCACGTCCAGGTAAAGACCGCAGTATTAACCAGGTAAGAATGAAATACTTCTGGCCTAAAATGGCAGCAGAAATTGCAAAGTATGTGCATAAATGTGTCTGCCTCCATCACAAAGGTACCATTACCGGTCCTAATCCCATTCTCAAGTATCCCATTACAAAGGAACCCTGGGAGAGAACTTCTGTCGACCTGTTGATGAACTTCTCGACCTTGGAGAATTCTTTTAAATAATTTACGTTAAGCGTTAAACCCATGTGGGTTATTCAGCGCAAGACGTGATGGTCGAGGCTCGATCCTCCGTCTGCTGAGCGCCAGATAGATGCGCTTCCTATATGTACTTACCTAGATCTCGACCTTGGAGAAGTGTAATAAACACTAACTTCTATTGATAGATAACTTGACACGGTACTGTGAGCTATTACCCATTCAAGGCAAAACTGCCGAGACAGTTGCTAATGCTTTAAGAGAATATATTGTCCCCCATTATACTTGCCCACATGTCCTCCTGTCGGACAGTGGGTCAGAGTTCATTAATGCCACAGAGCAGGATCTTTGCTCTAGACTTGGCATACATCAAGAGCAACGGTCTTGTTGAACGTACAAATCGCAAAATCCTAGAGGTGTTCAGAGTGACCATGAATCTGAGTTGTACCACAGGGGATGAGACCATTTCGGGTGTGCAGAATACT